GAAAAAGAAAATATCTGAGCAAAACAAATATGGGTGTTTTCTTTTGTTCCCCAACATGGAATTTTATTTTGCCTTCTTCTGATAATGACTCAAAATTGCTTCAGGGTTTTGTCTTCTCTTAAAGAACAGCAGCTAAACTACTCAAGATGATTTCTTGAGATGGCTTCATCTCTACTCCTTCCACAGAATTCCTGAGGACCCACAGTAGGAAGATATTTATAGAAAATGGTCTTGGTCCATGGAAACAGGACCACAGTGAGGAGAACCTCCCTCCACAAGTCTCAGAGGTCAGAAGAGCACACTGAAGCTTGGCGATGAGGGACAGGATGTGTACCATTGGGAAAGTGGTCCTTTTAAATATTTTCCTAATAACAGCTTAGAGTTGCTTTCTCCTGAGCCAGGGGTTCCCCCAAGGCCACATACCCTTCAGGGTATCAAAAGTTTATGCTGCCAAATCAAATGGCTTTAGAGTAAGAAAGGACACTTTTTAAAAGTTCCCATGCACTGTACTCTCACAATAACTTCCATGGGTAAGCATGTCTGTGTGATGTGAGAAGGAGGACCAGTGATCTCAGATCCAGTATTATTCTTCATGTAGCCATAACGTCAGCCAAAGAGAAACACTTAAGTCAATTTGGAATCAAATGACCACGTTTGGGAGCCAGGAGATGCCCCAGGATGCTCTTATCCAGTGTCTTAGATCACTGGGTCTTTCTGCCAACTCTGGAGCTAGATCACTGGCCCTTGAGATGTTTGTAACTTGGTCTCATAGGGCCCCAAGTTCCATATCTACTAGGTGAGAAGATCCATCTAAATTTGAGGCTTTTAATTCTCCTCTTCCTCCTTCTCCTCCTCTTCCTCCTTATGGTGGTGGGAACAAAATCCAGAACCTTAGACATGCTAGGCATGCACTCTATTACTGAACCCCCTTCTTCTTCAAGGAAAAAAAAAAAAAGGCTTAAAGTCCTTCCTTCATTGAGATATGACCAGATAAAATACCTGAAAGAGGAGCTGCTGCAAGTGAAATAAAGCTAGGTGCTGGGGATCCAGAGGCCTGGACCCTTTCTCCCTCCTCATCTATTCACCACTCCAGGGACCTCCCAGAGCACAGTGTGAAGACCAGTGAGACAGGGTCCCCTTGGTTCTGTTGTGAGCCACCCCATTCTCAGGCTTCTACATTTACGAAAACTCGACATCTCTGCAAGTGTGCCCCTTGGCCGGTCACACGGAAGTGTATACAGGGCTGCAGCCCATTACATGGTAGCAGGCCCCGGGGAGGGAAAGGGCACTGGCTCCTGCACTGGTCAGCTGTGACTGCCCACATGACTGCTGCACCGCCCAGCCTGGAGCAGTGAGCCCCAGTGACCTGAGATTCAGTGGACATGACTTCATAGACTGCACAAAGTTGACTGAAATATTCATGCTGTACTTTCGTAAGCATAATAGCCTCCAGAAGATAGCAGCCATCTACAACAGTAGCACTGAAGCCTGAAAAAAGAACAGGCCCTTGCTGGGCACCAGGGAGACGCACACATCCTATCCATTGCATGAAGAAAACCAAGAGACATTACTAAAATTAATCATGTTTAAAAATCAATTTGCACACCAATAAGGCACTAAAACCATATTGCTAAACTGTCATTTTGAAATGGATTAAATGTACCAGCATGACATGATTAAAACTATAAAATGTCTTTTGAAAAGGATAAAAATTTTCAACAAAAGTCAAGAAAAAAATGAGACATTCTCAAAGCAGATATCAA